AATTGTACGTAATTGTTTAGGCAATTATTTTATGAAGGAACGTGAAATTTAAGTAATGAGAAAATTATATAATACAATAGTTATTTAAATGACGAAAAATATCATTACATTAGCATAAGACGTGAATTCAAAATGATTGGACATTGTTATCTGAACCAGCAAAAAGGATCAATTTAGTCATGTTAGTTAGATAATATTATTATATATTTATAGTTATCTTACCTAAGTCTTCTTTGTAGACGATGTTCTTTATGTATATTCTATTTTGACGCTTTGCTTGCTTCGTCATGAGCAGAATTTTTATTGTAAAATATGATATTCCTCTTAAAAGTACAATATATAATTGTCCGTGTGAGAAAATATGTTGTGGCAGATACAGTTCAGCATTTGAAATTGTTTGCCCTTGTGCTTTATTTGTTGTCATTGCAAAATGCAAGCGTACTGAAAATTATTTTTCGGTAAATTAAAAAGGATATCCTTCATTATCTGGAGGCGAAAGTTGAATTCTGGAGATCAACGCATGCTTGAAAGTACATTGACCATTATGATTTCTGCATATATAACATTGTTGTCAAAACCTCTACATATTATTCTTATACTATTAAGTTATTTGACAGATCTATGTTTCTTAGCAATATAATGAATGCATTTTGCTTCAAAATCAGCATGTACGATGTGGAAGTTTATTTTTGAATTAATAAGAATATCTTCAATTCTCCAGTTAAAAGCGGCTATCAATAAATAAATAAAAGCTAATGCACCACGAAGCCACAAAAAAAACCAAAACCATGTAAAAGAAAATTAAAGGCCTTTAATTGTCAAACGGAATTAAAAACTTACTAAAGCATGTGTTTTGACTGTTGGCTTTCAGACACTTATGAACTATAGTTGAGTGGAAGAAAAAGAAGGTATATAGAACTAAAATCTGCAATGGTTCCTAATTGAATGAGAACTCTTTAAGCATTTAGAGAGTTAGAACCCATTATAAATTTAACATAGTGACGGTGAAAGAATTTTTGTGTCTATTATATACATACATGAAACTAACACATAAAGAAATAATGAACTTGACAACGAATTTGTGAGGTGGAATATTATTTGGTGTTAAGTATTTAAGTATTCTTTTAGTAGTAGTTGGTATAATCTTCTGTTGAGTCGAAACGGATAAATATTTTGCTCTCACCAAGAAACTCTGCAATCAACATCTCATCTAGTTGATCAGCGTATTCATTTCTGTTAAGTAAGATAGCTCTTTCTGTCATGTACCTTGTAAAAACTTTTATTTTTATTTAGTGAAAATATATCCCTTGTTAAGCGATCTTCACAATTAATATCATCATTGAGCTCGATGATCGATTATTTTGGAAGACATACCAAATTATCTTTTATTGTTTGCTCTTTTTCGTTTTTGACACGAAGCAAGAAATTACGGAATGATGTATATGTCCTTGTTATTAGCCGAATATCCAAGTTGTCATCAAATTATATATTTAATATACCAAAAATAAAATTGAAAAATGATAATCTTTTGGGAAATTACTTGGATATATTCTTTAACATCACAACCTAGCAAGTATTTTATAGCATCAAAAAGCATAACAGTATTTGTGATCGAACACATCAAGTTTTAAACAGTATCTATAAAGTGTTATATAGTTTTATCAGAAAGATATTTATTTAATTTAAAGAAATAAAAAAGAAGGGAAAAGTTTTTTTTATCTGTTTACTTTTATTCACAAGTGATGTCTTTTATTGTACAATTGCTACAATTAGCAATTTTGTTTTTAACATATACCTTCTTGTAACATTTTTTGTAAGAAGAATATGACGATGCATCTCTATCTTTAAAGCTTGTTATTTATGCATAAGATCTACAATATAAATCCTACATATAAAGAAAAGTCAATATATTGGATTTTACACATTCAAAAAGGATGTAAATTATTTTGAAATTTTTTGAAATTTTTTACCTTGGCAGTTGTAGGTGAGCTATTTATGATGGTTTTACACATTCAAAAAGACTATAACTTGTTTTGAAATTTTTTACCTTCACAATTGTACATGAGCCATTTATGATGTCATTAACTATTTTAAGACAAAGTAAAAAATTGTGTATCCCTATATATTTTTAATTTTAGGATTAAAATTCCTAAGAAGTATATCTTAAAAAATACCCAAAGGAGCTATAAAGGCCGAGCGGCCTAATCCAGTACATCTCTTTAATAAAACGAATAGAACATTAATAGGTGAATGCTGATTAGGAAATAACTAAATAATATAATATTTAAGCCAAATAGAAAAGAGATAAAAATATTTTGATCTAATATTGATACATCTGAATGAAATTCTCTGCAAATATATACATCTAATAACTATTTATATGAATTACCTTGAATAATTCTTTGCAAAATAACGTGGTTGATAAATTGAAGGAAAAAAGTAAAAATGGAGGAATATATCACCTGCACGTATGGTTAATTTTTAATCTTAGGAAATAACATATGAATACATAAGCTAAAGTAAGAAAAACTTGGTTGATAAGTTCAATAAAAAGATTATAATAATTGGAAGGAATAATACCCTTCTCAAAGTTTGCAGAATTTTGTTATTGTATTTTTACACGAAGATCAAAGCTAAAAACTAACTTATTTTGTTGAAGTGTTTGGCTCCTTTTTTTTAAAAATGGATTCGTACAATTTAATACGTTCTTCAATTAAATTAGTAATAGATTTTTTTTAAAAATATGTCCTAAAAATAAAAAAAATTACACGGCTAACGTGCAATATAAAAAAGAAAACATATCTATATCCGATAAGTAATTACTAATAGGATTCCTAAAGATAATAGAATTACGTGACAATGTGGCAATTCTCAAACAAAAAATAAGTTATATACATTTCCAATTGATATTGGGATTTAGACTTAAGTAGTAAAGCAAATTTGTGGATTGGTAGACTACTTACGGTTAGTCTCTTTTTCTCGTTTAATTCCCAAAACGGGCATATTTAAGTTTAGTCAAATTCACAAACTTTTTTTACTATATTCTAAAACCGGCATATTTATAAATAAATTGATTTAGCAAAAAGTTTCCAAAGTTTAAGAATCAGTAATAGGATCCTAAAAGTAATAGAATTATATGGCTAACATCAAGAATTCCAGTGTCAAGTATGTCCTAAAACTAATAGGATTATATTGCTAACGACGTCTAGAATTTCGGTTATGACCTTTTACTATGAGTTATTATGCTTAATATTACAAGGTTATTTTTGTAAATTAACATTCTATTCGTACTTTTATAATAAAATAGATAGATATAAATATAAATATAAATAAATAAAGAGATAGATATAGATAATATATAATATAATATATATAGATATAGATAAATAGATTATTTTACCAATGACATGGTTGTCTCCGACATCCTATATTTTGTTCATTATGTCGGTTCTGTGTGCGGTCAGTTCCAAGATGACCAATTTCTTAATAACTCGGAAGGCGACATGTTGGAAAACCTCAAGTTAATTCTAGCTTTGCTGGTTGCAACTAAAGATTCGCCTTTATACATTTGGACATCGTTTCCTTTTCTGATAGAATATTTACTGATTAGGAATTCATTATGTAAAAATGAGATTATAACACAATTACATTGTGATAATATTCACACATAGACACACAAAATTGTTAAGATTTCAAAAGGAGTCGTCATTGGTGACATTTCACGACGTTAAACAAGCTACAGGATACAATAATAACTGCTCAGCAAACAATATGCCTCAAGCTAGAAGCGACCTTCATTTAGCTCCGAGCAGTGTTTTAAAAGGTGAGGGCACAAGCCGAAACGTTTTACCTTATACGGGCGAGGCGTAAGCCTCGAGGCGCTGCGCGTAAGCCCCATCAATTTTTAATTTTTGAAATTCTATAAATTAAAATAATAAAAATAAATATTAAGATAAGGTTAAAATACATAAAATTTATAGAAGTTTCAAAAAATATAAAATAAGTGGAATGTGTATATAATTACTTCATCTTAAAATACAAATTTAAATCAGCAATTAACTAAAAAACTAATCAAAACTGCTTCGCAAAAAAAACGAATCAGAATTTAGAAAAAAAATTGAGTAGAAATTTATAAACTAACTTGATATTAAAGAGCAAAATAACTTGAAAAGAAATAATAGGAAGCGTTGAACCGTAACAAATCATGAAGGATGATGCGCTTTTGCTTTGTAGTTTGAAAATTGATTATTTTTTCCTTTACCCCGAAGAAAACAAAGAGAGAATAAAATTAGGGTTAAGAATAAAGTATATTTTAACTTTTAAGTTTTTAAACTTTTTAGAATGCAATAACAAGTTGATTTTTGTATTTTTTGGTATTAAATTAGGGACTTGTTTCGCAATTTTCATTCTAATTTGGAAAGATTTTCTGGGCTTACGCCCCAAGCAAAAACTCGCCCAACGCCTAAGCATACGTCCAGAACAATGGGGCTTACGCCTCACAATACTTTCGCCTCCTCAGATCGCCCCAGTGCGTTTTTACTACGCCCTGCGTTGTCCCGGACTCACCCGAAAACGCCTTTTAAAACATTGGCTCCAAGCAGTAATATTAAGCACCTTAAACAGACTGACGAAATAATTGCACAATGAGTGTTTCAGTTGGATGAAACATGCAGGAAGAAATCTCCCCAGTGGAGCCAAGGGTGGATGCTTAATCACTGTCACCATTCATGTTTTTCCTTCTCCCAAAATATTAGTTCGGACAGGACTAGATTGGAAATTTCCTTCTAACTGGACTTTTTCATATTATATAACTGCATTAGCATTAGTACTGAACAGATTTATACACACAAAGCGAGTAAAATGTATGAAAAACTCATTACAGGACACCTTGCAGTTTACTGGAACTTTCATGTTAGAAGATAGCCAAAACCAAAACTAAATCTGTTGACTGAGTACACTTGCAGCAATGAATGCTTCACCTCATATATCAGAGTCAAATAGAATTCAACTATAACTATATTAAGTTTGATTATGTCACAGCATCAATCAAGAAAGTTTCAGCTTTTTTGAAATCCCAATGTTTAGTGCAAGTAACTAGAGAGATCTCAACATCATTCTAAAAGTGTGACACTTTAAATGCCCACTCCCCTTTTACTGGATCATAAGAAACAAATTCTGCACCATGCACTCCTGCTTTCTTAATAAGCATATCTCTGTACTTGTTAACTATTGGTCCATCTGTGTACTCCTTCCCGGTCGATTTGTTGATGCATCTGACATTAAGGAGAGTTATCTCAGCTGGCTTGTTGAGGCCTTGTCCAACTGGAGGTTTCTCGCTCTCGTCCATATAGATGATCACTTCACGACAGTTAAAATGGACGGCAGAATCAAGATCAAGCTTCCGGACATCTGTTTCTCCCAAGAACTTGATGCTTCCATAGCCATGTCTTCCTACCACAAAGTCCGTCACGTGGGTACAGAAACCAGGTTCTTCCTTCTCCTTTGATATTAATTCCTGAATAGGAGGAACTGTGTAGTAATCAGAACGTTGGAGCTTGGGCATTATGGCATCAACATCCTTATCATCATGCTTGCTATCTGTTGCTTCTTCAGCAGCACTTTCAACTGAAACTATGAAACAAGGTTTCAGCTTTCCAGAATTATCATAATGCATCTCTTCAGGCGCTAAGTTGGGCTTGCCACAACTGTCATTAACTTTGACTCCATCATGCATCCCTACATTTTCTTTAAGTTAACAGAAAAAGGAATTAAGAAGTTTGAAAGAGCTAATCAAATAATATGCAATTAAACAAAATGCAAACTATAAAGGTGTTGAAACAGACAATGTATTCTCTTTCCCCTTTTAAGAATGCACTGATGACTACAGAAGAGATTAACTTCTTTCTTGCTAGTCAGCTCTATCTTTTTCTCCTCTCTCTTTGTTTTGATGGTAGCTCTACTGCTTTATCCTTGAAATATCCAACATACTATCAACTTGAAAAAGAGTGATACATATTGCACTTAGTACCTGTTGCTGGATGAGAAGAGATGGCTGTAGGAAGTGTTTCTCCAACATTTGGAGTCATTTCTGGGTGCAGAGGACCAACGAACAGAGGCTGCAAGAGTAGCAACAACTTAAATGTACAACACCAAAAAGAATTGTTCCACATACCATAACAGAAGTGCTCCAAACTTTTTTTTGTTAGTTATCCTTTCTCCACCGATATTATAGACCACAAGGTGCGGATATACATTATTTACGACAGAACACAAATGGCACGGGTATACAAATGAGATCCAATTGCATATAGGTTAAGAATCACTTACAGTATTTTGACTTGGACCAAGTGGATAGAGCTGAGAGGATGTAGTCAAGTTTTCCAACCCAATAGATGAATCACAAAGTCTTGGGGAAGTAGGCTGCAGCTGGTAGGATGATTGAGACTTGTTTAGGCAGTTTGAGCATAATGTGGATTGTGGAGCTGCTCCGGTAGTTAAAATAGGAGCGGGAGAAAGGGCGGAGGTAATCGGAGAACTAGAATCTGGTTTCAAAGGTGCAGCAAATGGACTTGAATGGATCCATGGAGAAAAAAATACATTTGAGGCAGTAGATCCTGATGAAGACTCAAATGGTTTACTTTGTGAAATTGATGCAGCCCCTGCAATACCAGCAGCAGATTTTTCACTTAGTCAAATAGACAACATTACTTTTTCATTGAAGATTCATGGGAAAACAAATGAAAACTCAAGAAGGAAAGAGACATTAATGAAAACCAAAGTTAAGTGTTACCTTTGTTTGCAGATTCATAGTCCTCTAACCTCAACTCCTCGTGGCTTTTATTAGAATACAATGGCATAGCAGAGATTGACAAAAACTTTATTGAATATTGTCCTTCCACTTCTCTAGTTGCAGCATAAGATGCCACTCTAGTTCCAGTGCCAGGTGGGGTTGTGGTAGACTTCTCTTTTGATAGAGAATCAAACCCTGCTCTTTTCGTGGCAAATGGATTCGGACAGTGACAATAAGAAGGTTCTCTTTTCACGGCAAATGGATTTGGACAATGACCAGAAGAAGGTTCTCTTTTCACGGCAAATGGATTTGGATGATCAACAGTTGATTGGTTAAATACTGGTGATTGAAAAGTCCTTGAGTTGTCAATGACACCAAATCCAGATATGCCTGAAACACCAAATGAAGAATGATATGTTTGGCCAGCAAATTTCACCCATGAAATATAGATAATATAATGAATTACAAGGTAGACTTCCTTGCTATCTAAAGATATGGAAAACAAGTTTAGCATACCTTTATCACCTAACTGATAGTCCTCAAACCTCAACTCCTCCTGGCTTTTATCTTTATAAGTGTGCATGCCACAAATGGACTGAATTGTTTCACCTGGTTTTGTGCTATCTTTCTCTGGAGTTGCGATGTATGATGCTATTCTACTTCCATTCTGATTGAAACCACATGCTGCCTTTCCAAAACTAAAGCTCTTGAGCAATGGTGCTGTACTTTCTTTTCCTGGTTTGCAAATTTGATCAAGATTGAGCACTTAATATATCTAAAAAGATAAAGTAAGAAATAAATAACATTTAATAAAAACTCAACATGGAGCAATATGGAGCATGTAGTAATGCGCATTTAATGGTGTATTCTCTTATATCAATCACATAGAAAAAGATTCTCCCTTAGAATGTTGAATAATCGGTATGAGAAAAATGGACTATGAGGTAAATGGTTGCTTACCTGACACAAATGCTGCTGGCCGGTCAAAAGGCCTTGGTATGACGAGGCCACCAAATCCAGATATGCCTGAAACACCAAATGAAGAACCACATTATCTACATTTACAGGACACAATCCTCCCCCAGAATGTTGAATAACCTGCTCTATTACATGGGAAAAAAGGACTATAATATAAAGCTTTGTCACCTGACGTGGATACTGCTGGCTGGACGGAGGAGTAGGAACCAAATGCGGGAGTGCTTGACATGCCAAAGTGTGAGTTGCTTGCAACACCAAATGCAGGAGCTGAAACACTGGCATCCCTGGACCACAACAGAGGTTTATTGGCCACACCATTACCTTCATATTTCTTTCCAAATGTTGATAAAGTGGACGAGCCCAGAGATTTGTCTTGCGTTTGAAAAGCTGTAGCATCGTTCGCTGCATTAAATGTTGTGGTTCCTGCAGTTCCAGAAGCAGACTGAATTGATTTTCTAATCACTAAAGACAACTACAAGCATCAGTAGCAGGCACGAGATTGGTTGAATAACTTCTCCTGAAATAGTAAGCAAGAACATTACCCACCATACTGAGATATTGCAGTTATTACAAACATTTGGAAAAGAGTACAGCTCTATGCCAATTCATTGCATAGCTACTTTCACGAGAAGATTTTGTATTTGGAACAATTCCATAGCCACCTCACAACTATTCTAGAAAGGAACGTTTGGTATCTTTTAAAAGAATAGCATCTAAGCGTTTCCCTTCCTTAGCCACAGGCAACAGTGAATGCTATGCTTTAAGATTTGACAAATAAAAGGAAAAACATATTCAAAGAAGTGGTCTTTTACTTTTGTATTTAGACAGAAATGGGGGAGAGTTCTATTAAAATTTAGTTGATAAGACATAATGATGGACCAAAATCAAGCAAGAAGCTGATGCAATTAATACTGTAAAAGGTGAACAAAAGAACAAGATGATGATAATGTGACAATTTTTCTGAGAAAATTTCAAAAACCTAATCTTTTGGTATGGGTGTGACCATGCAAGCTGAAAATCTTCTAATTAACAATAAATAGATATATTCTGGGGCTTCTTAGGGAAAATTAATTGCCTATTCCAAAATCGGTATGCTTAAAGGAAAAGAATAATCAAGTTATATTTAAGTTCTTACCATTGAAAGACACTGAACTTCCAATAGGTTGAGCAAATACGGATGATGCTGATGAGGTTTCTCCAAATGCTCTATTTCCAAACAGTGGTTGAGTCTGTCCAATTTCGGGGGTAGAACCAAACATATTGCTGCTGCTAAATAACGGATTTAAAGCTGCGAGAACAAGAGTATGAGAGAGAGAGAGAGAGAGGGAGAGGGAGAGAGAGAGAGACAGATCACTGCAATTATGTAGTTCTAGAGAAAATGTAATCAACCAAGAGTAAAAGTGTTCAGAAGCAAAAACATACAGAAGAAGACAACTATGAGAAACAGAGAAAGCATGCTATTGTGAGTTAGATTACATGCCATGCTAAAGTAGAATTTAAATCAACACAAGATGGGTAAGACGCCGATTATTAATGTTGATAATCACTTGTCAATTTTTTGCATAACAATAAACGTCCAACAATTGCACAAAGCATCAGAAACTTTTGTTTATTTTGAGTTTGACATAGAATATTCATCAGATCCAGTATCCTTGCACTCTCTCTCTTTCTGATTAATAGAAAATGCTGGCTTTACAAAACCAGAGCTTTTGAGCAATGGTGTTGTACTACCTTAATTTTCTGGTTTGCAAATTTGATCAAGAATGAACACTTGACATATCCAAAAAACTAATTGGCGTTTGGACATAAAAATTGTAAAATTCCAGAAAAAAGTGAAAAACAAATTCATGGCCAAACGGACTCTAAAGCTACGAAATAAACAATATTAATTAAAACAAACTCATGGACTTCAGATCAATATATAGCATATAGTAATGCATATTGAACGGTATATTCTCTTGTTTCAATCAACAAGAGCCAGATTACGGAAGAAAATTCTCCCTCGAAATGTTGAAAACCCTGCTCTAGTACATGAGAAAAATGGAGTATAAAGTAAACCATTGCTCACCTGACACGGATACTGCTGGCTGGCCAAAGGAGTAGGAACCAAATCTTGGAGCGCTTGACATACCAAACTGCTCGACTGTTGATTCGTTGAAGGGCCTTGGTATGAGGAGGCCACCAAATCCAGATATGCCTGAAACACCAAATGAAGAACCATATGTCTGACCTAATGGTATATTCTCTTAAATCAATCACATAATCCAGATAACATAACAAATTCTCCCTCAGAATGTTGAATTATCAGCTCTAGTACATGAGAAAAATGGACTATATTGTAAACAGTTGCTCACCTGACGTGGATACTGCTGGCATGTCAAAGGAGCAGGAACCAAATGTGGGAGTGCTTGACATGCCAAAGTGTGAGTTGCTTGCAACACCAAATGCAGGAGCTGAAACACTGGCATCCCTGGACCACACCAGAGATTCATTGGCCACACCATTACCTTCATATTTCTTTCCAAATGTTGGTAAAGTGGATGACGAGCCCAGAGATTTGTCTTGTGTTTGAAAAGCTGTAGCATTGTTTGTTGCACTAGAGGCTTTTGTTCCTGCAGTTCCAAAAGCAGACTGAATTGATTTTCTAATCACTAAAGACAACTACAAGAATCAGTAGCAGGCACGAGATTGGTTGAATAACTTCTCCCAAAATAGTAAGCAAGAACATTACCCACCATAAGAAATCCCACTGAGATATTGCAGTTATTACTAACATTTGTAAAAGAATACAGCTCAACGCCTTGCATAGCTACTTTTTCCAAGGAGCAGATTTATTTTTTCAACCAATTCCATAACCACCTCACTGCTGCTCTAGAAAGGAAAATATGGTATCTTTGCTTTCATGAAATTGCCATTATTAAGAATAGCATCTATAGCGTTTCTTACTGGGCCATAGGCAACAGAGAATGCTATGCTTTAAAGAATTGAAAGATGAAAGGAAAAACATATTCAAAGAGTGCCTCTAGTTCTCGAATGCAAAATGCAATAGCCCCATCTCTATTTTTTTGGAGATGGGGGAGGGTTCTGTGGAAAATTCAGTTGATAACACATAATGTTGGACCAAAATCAAGCAAGAGGTTGATACAATTAATACTGTAAAAGGTGAACAAAAGAACACGCTGGTGATAAGGCGACAAATGATATTAGATCTAAGACAAAATCAAAACCTAATACTTTTGATATGGATGTGATCATGCAAGCTAAAAATCTTCTAATTAACAATAAATGAATATATTCTGCAGTTTCTTCGGGAAAGTCAATAGCCTATCCCAAAATCAGAATAACAACAACAACCCAGTAAAATTCCACTAATGGGGTCTGGGGAGGGTAGTGTGTACGCAGACCTTACCCCTACCCCGAAGGAGTAGAGAGGTTATTTCCGAAAGACCCTCGGCTCAAAAAAATAAAAAAACAAAAGGGGCAAAAAGGAAGACAATATTAGTATCACAACAACAATCACAGGATAAATAGGAACACCATGAAATCCAGAAGAAAAATGCAAAGTAAAGGAAGACAATATTAGTAAATATTAGTATCACCACAACAGTCATAAGAAAAATAGGAACATCATGAAATCTAGAGGAAAGATGTAAAGCAAAAGCGATAGCTAGTAAATAGGACCTGCATTGAAAAGCGAAATAGTAAGCCACAACATTCCCATTAGTTATCTTAGACAAAAACCCTACATGGCTAGTCCCACCATGTTACGAAGTAAGGCACGACTCAACTACTTCCTAACCTACAACCCTAATACTTGACCTCCACATCTTCCTATCAAGTATCATATCCTCGGAAATCTGGAGCCTCGCCATATCCTGCCTGATCACCTCTCCCCAATACTTCTTAGGCCGCCCTCTACCTCTTCTCGTGCCCTCCGTAACCAGCTGCTCACACCTCCGTACCGGAGCATCTGGGCTTCTCCTCTGAACATGTCCGAACAATCTAAGCCTCGCTTCCCGCATCTTGTCATCAATGAGAGCCACATGCACCTTCTCCCGAATATCATTATTCCTAATCTTATCTATCTTAGTGTGCCCGCACATCCACCGCAACATCCTCATTTCTGCTAC